TGTTTTTTAAAAATTCATTATATCATTATTTCCTTCTGGGGTACTTGTAATTGAATCTAATAGAACATGTACTTTCAATTAATAGTTAAAAAATGATTAACTATGCGGACTGACTCAATATAAAGTCATCAATTCAATTCAATACTTTATTCTCTTAAACTGCACTACAGAATAGGGAAAATACAAACTTAAAATGTGTACAATACAGCATGCGTGAGGAAAATAGAAAAATAAAACAAAAGAAAAAAATGACTTTGTCATAAACCAAGCAACCAACTCTCTCGGTAAAAAATCAAATATAGTTTATTTAGTTGACCTTTGATCGTTTTATTTAGATAATTGTTCAGACTCAAAACATTCTGATTTGTAAATATACATTTACCTCGAAGGGTAACTCTCTTATTAATTGTATTGATGAATTTACAAAGGTTATGGATATCGGATACTTTTTACATGAAAATAAATTGGAAAACTTAAAAGCACTTGGTTACACATGTATATATGTTGATGGTATTTAGATATTCTACTAAAATTACATTTGTACGAGCTGGACACGACATAATATAGTGGTATTCGTCTCCAGTACAGAGTCTTTGATTTGAAGGTATATTGCTTCATAGGCCTGTTTCTTTTGGTAAATTATGATTACTAGTTCTAATCGGAAAGTCAGGACTTCGAACGCCGGCCACTATATGCCTTAGTCGATTAAACAGGCAGTAACTGTACCTTTGCTAAGTGGAAGGCTTTGTCAAGTAAATGTTGCAATTCTTTCGTATGAAACATTAAAAATCGATGCCCTATGTTACAGCAGACGTTCACACAATAAAGATACCTTAATGCTCAATAATCTTGAGCACTAGTAAAGGTATAAATTTAAGCCTTTCCCCTGTATATGTATACGATGAAGTCTCTTTAGGAATTAAATAATTCTAGACATATGAATTGTATATGAGATATGACTTTTAACAACAGACAAAAAGCAATATACAAAACATTGTCATTAACGACGACGGACCTAATTCATTTCTACAATAGAAAATTTACTCAAATTTTAATATGAGGTAAAGTGTCTCTTTGTGAGTTAAAATCGATGAAAAAAATATATGGTCATCGATATAGATTTTTAATAGGGAGCGTTTCAAAAGTAGGCAACGAAAATCGATGATTACTATATGAAGTAATGGGAAAATGCGAGTTTGTGGTATAAAAGTGATGATTAAAAAAATTCTGCAATAGAATTTTTATTCATATTAAGAAACAATGTCAACAAGATAATTTAGTAGCAAATAATGCCAAAAAATAAATAGGTCATAGGCCTAGATTTTTTAAGGTAGTGTGTCAAACTCTGGTGAATGGCATATTTTGGGGGGAAATTTTCATTGAAAATACCTTGGCAAAATAAATTGTGTCGTTTTATTTCCTTATTCTTCAATTTATTTTTACACTAAATAAATATAATATTTTAAAGTTGTTTAAAACTCTAGGGATGGTGATAAAGTAGGATTTATGTGAAATATATGCGTATAATACTCTAGGGATTGTCTCAAAGTACGATTTTTGTGACCCACGTCCCATGGGAATCAATATCTTAAAGCCTGATTATTTCAAAAGTTAATATTTTCTTATCATACCTGTAATTAACTGAAATACTTGTACCTGATACAGTGTTTGTCAATTAGAAATAAGCATAGATAGTAAAAAGTTTAAGTATAAGGGACTGTTTCAAGATAGGTGTTTTTGATTTTTCGTTATATGCGTGCTTTACTGTATATGATCAAATAGTCAAATACTGATGCATTTTTCACGAAAATAGTGCAGAAAAACAAAATAAACGCTCATGGGCGACATTGCTCACCTTAGCACACTTTAACCTTGGCCACAACTTTTGAACAGTAAGGGATAAGGCTTTCATACTTCATATACCTAATCCTTGTGAGAAGACCTTTCAATGGATACCAAGAACTTTGACCTTTTGACCTTTGAGATTGACCTACTTTAAAAAAGCAAACCTTGACCATAACTTTAAAAGAGTTAGGGCTAGTGTTTTCATACTTTACATATTTGATCCTTATGACATGACCTTTCATTTGATACCAAGAACTTTAACCCTTTGAGTTTGACCTACTTTTTAAAAAATTGAACGTTGGCCATAACTTCTGTACGGTTAGAACTAGAGCTGTCATATTCTACATAAGTAATCTATGTGGCAAGACCTTTCATTTGATACTAATTACATTGACCTTTTGACCTTGAACTTGGAGATTTTTGTACTTATTAAAAAACAAGCATTGGCTAACTTTCAAATTTCAAAATTGTTTACCAGTGAGAACACCCTACTCTTGGTACCAATTAATTAAATTTGCATTTAAGAAAAGCTTAATCTTTGCTATATTGCCGTACGGGGGCATCAGTGTTTCACAAACACATCTTGTTTCTTGGTTTTTCTAGGTAAAACTTTGATCCCTTATTGTACCCCACCTTACCCCCCCCCCCCCCCCCCGAGCTGAAATATCTATCAATTTGTAATTTTGGAATGTTTTCAAAATATTTGACAATAATGCACCTGTGTTATTTTACTCTGAGTTTAGGCTACTATACTTGTAAAAGTATAAGAATTTCACACACAGGTAAAATACTTTATTAATAAAGTATTTCACATTTCAGGACAAAATGATGACAGGTATAACAGATTTAACTATGGAGTATCAAACAGTATCATTCGGTATCAAATACATGTATTGATGAAATTTAATATACAAAAATATTTTACTTTTATATGTTTGTTTATAATGATTTCACTCAATCATTTTAAATAGCTACATGTATTAGCTGTTACCTTAAAGCTTATATACACACTTTTATTTTTTTAACTAGTTTTTTTTTATGAGATATAACATATATACATGTGGGGTAAAACTAACTAGAGTTCCTAATTATTTCATCACATCTGTATATCTAAAAAATGATGTACATGCTGTTTACATGTAGAACAACACTATAAACTTGCAATATTGTTACATATGAAAAGTTTGTAAAAATTTTCCCAGGGGCAAATCATATATTCTGGTGCTGTAAAGTTGTAGGTCTTTTGGTTCTGTAAAGTTGTAGGTCTTTTGGTTGAGAGAGTAAAGGTTGGAACAGCAGATATTGGCACACTAAAAAACCCTCACTCCTCATTGCTCCCAAGTGTCATTCACTGCATCTTGTGACTTCTCATCAGGGTTAAATAATCTTGTAACATGTGGTAAGCTACAACAATCAATCTATGCCTGCAAGGTGCATTTTTGGAATTACTGGAAATTCAAGAAAAATTCCTGATGATGATGGGTGCTCCAATAGATGCAGCAATTTGAACTATCTGCATATTGTTGTTTCTACCTGAAATACACAAAAAAAAACTATGTGATATTCAGATAAATAAATAACATTCAATCAATCAATATCAAGTGTACACATTTTTTTGCATTTTGTTAGCAAAGGTAAAATAAAAAAAAACCACTATGCGCCCAGACACAACAAAGATTTGAAAAGCTATTTTTAGCTTAAGGGTCACAGTCAAGGTCAAACTAAGGGTCATTTACCTTGGTGTCTTTTGAAAACTTAATTAGTGGAGTATGCATACCAAATATGAAGTCTCTATCTGTTAAAAGTTATGGCTAAGGTTAAAGTTGACAACAGACAGACAAACAGATAAACAGACAGGACAAAAACAATATACGCCTCTGATCTATCGATTGGGGCGCATAAAAAAATATATGAATAAACTGAAAGAATCAAAACTAGAACTGTCCAATAGGGACAAATACCCCCCGCTGGGTTTTTCAGAGAAGGTGCCAATTCAAAAATACTTTATGGATTTAGAGGTGTTCACTATTTACTTACAACAATTTGCAGTAAAATATAAGTGCTCATTATGTTTCTTAATGAGTGAAACAAAAGTGCAACCAAATGAAACATCAATACTAATTAATACATTGTAATTCAATCGTAACATTTTTTTATTTCTGCATTAAAAAAATTTATTGCAATTATGTGTCATGACACTCTGCAAACTAATTGTTGAAAAAAAATCATTATACAAAATCAAATTAATCTTGATATATCAAATTCATTTTGAAAATAAAAAACTGGTCATCCAGTAATGAATTGCTTTGACAGACAATAAATTACAATTAAGAGAATAAGAGTAGAGAGATCTTTAATTCTTGTGCCTTATTCCCTGGAGATTTGATAACACACACACGCTTGATAAGAGATATGCCTTAACAACCTCCAACATCAAACTCATTAATTTATCTTTAACTGGATGCTTGTCCAGTCATTATTCCCAAGAGACAAATGAATATCTTCTGTGTAATGTAAAAACTGTTTTTAACACTTGATGATGTTTCCTTTTTTTTAGTTTTAATGAGTTGTTGTAAGCTGTACTACCCGGTAGTTCACATTTTTGTACAGATATTCTAGATTCTATCTCTCATACCTTATAAATGAGCCCAAAATGAACAAGTCAATTTAAATAAAAAGTAAAACCTGTAAAATGCAGAAAAATAAACAAATAAAGTTGAAAATTCCAGGTGCATACCTTCATATGGTGAATAATAAGTGTGCAAATTTTCAGATCAATCCTTGCAATAGTTTGTGAGAAACAGTCTGCACAAGACCACAAAATAAAAATAAAAAAAAAACACCTGTAAAATTCAAAACAATCATCCAATCAAGATGAAAATAGCAGGTGCACACCTTCATATGGTGAATAATATGTGTATAAATTTTCAGGCAAATCCTTCCAATAGTTTTTGAGAAATCGTCCGGACAAAATCTCGTCTACAGACAGACAGACAGACATACAGACGGACAGACAGACAGACGGACAGACGGACATGGTGATTCCAATATACCCCCCTAAACTTCGTTTGCGGGGGGTTTAATAAAAATTATTATTATTATTCTTTATTGTTCCAACTATCTCATTGGCTCAAACTGGATCACATGATCAAGTATAAAAAGTGTTACAGACTGGATGTTTCTATTTTAAAAATTTATAAACCTGCTGTTTCTAAAATTGGAAACGTTCTTCTGTGAAGAAACAATAGTGCTGACGTCACAATAGTCTTTATAGACTGGATGTTTCTAAAAACAGATACTGATGCTGGTTTTCATTACTGTGACGTCATAATGCAATGACATAACAATGCATTGTATGAGGAGGTACTGCGTATTATAAAGAAGGATTTTAAGACATTTCTTATTAACTGATAAAAAAATAATAAAACAATTGTAGCCTTTTAATTCGGTACAATCCCTCGATATATAGACCTTAGAGAAAGCATATCGACCTCGCACTTCGTGTTCGGTCGATATGCTTTCTCTAAGGTCTATATATCGAGGGATTGACCTCATCAAAAGGCTATAATTGTACAAGGGGTGTTAGAAAAGTTCGCGGACAAGTTCTGTTGTGAGCGCGCTATTTCCACGAAACCGGTCAAACTTTCAAGATAAAATCTTAACCTTTTTTTCCAATAAATATACAAGAATTTGGTACTCTCCGATGATTATTGAAAAAAATACAGCTTTTTTATTTTGATAAAACTTGCTTCACGGAGCATGCTACATTTTTGCACGTTTACATCACAAAGACTCTTTATTAAAATTAAAAATTGCACAATTGTACGGCAAAGAGTTTTATGATATTTTACCTACCGCTGAAGTATTCATGAAACGTCACTGGGAGAAATTTTGAACTATACTGGAGGGTATATGACTGTTTTATAGCCGTTTCTTACTGATCAACGCTTAAAAACACAGCCAAAAATCGGAACGTCATTGAGCGTCATGGAGCACTGCACTACGTAAAAATTATGTATGCAGACTGGAAAATGTCTAAAAAGAGATTAAAATGTTCAAGATGCTGCCGGGAATTTCCAACACCTACAAAAGACAAGTTTTCAAATGGTTGTATCTTCATAAGAATGGAAGGATTAACATTTTGAATGATTAACTCCATCGATACTTCAATACCCCCGTATCGCATGGACGTTGCGTTGCGCCTATATGGTTAAATTGCATAGTTTCCATACCTGATCGATTAATTGCATAGACTTTTTTAAAGATCTCAATAATATCCGAATCAGTACAAAAGACATTATATAGAAGAAAAGTAACATGTCTTGAAATAGATGTTCAATTTTAAAGTAGAAAAAAAGATAAGAAAAATCTGAAGAAATGAAAGATTTATAGAACTGCGACAAAGCTTAACCGGTTGAAATCTGGTTGTCACGTCACCTTACGTGAATCCGTGATTGCTCCGTGAATCCCATGACCCCAAAGTAAAAATCGTTATAAATTTTCAAGATTTTATTATATGGACCTGATTTTTTACATACCAATAAACAAAATGTAGGAATTTATTCAGACATAGGTCATACTTCACAGTACACAATAGATTTTCCGTAATTCAATGTGTCCGCGAACTTTTCTAACGACCCTCGTATAATATTCACACCCTAATAAAGCATATGATTAATCAGCATTGTCAGTGTACAAAGAATAGGAGAATGACTTTTAACATTTATCTCCCTTTTGAAAAAGTCATGAGTGAAGTTTTCATTTTAAAAGACTTCAAAAACATACCTAAACAAGTCTTTGGTTTTTTCTTCAACAGCAGGTATTTCCTCAGTACAAGTATCTCAGTCTGCAGATTTTTTCTGTGGTAAAAAAATTAAACATTTAATTTGAAATGCAAAATACATTTGAGTATTGTTATCTACATACATGTCCTACATGCATCTTAAATTTGAATGAAATAGTATTATCAGTGTGATTCAGTTTTGAGTTGTTAATTTTTTAAAGCCGTTAGTGCATGTACTGTAAAAGATGAAGGCAACTTATTATTATCTTTTTTGGAGGAAACAATTATGAATGATACATAACTAATAATTTAACAACTTTTTGCATTAAAACAAATGATTCAAGGGTTCAAATACCGTATAATCCCTATAAACCGCCCCGGGCGCTTAGAAAATAGACGAATTTCACATTCCTAAGAGTTATCTCCCGTTGTCGGCGTAACGCTCATTTTTCCCACTTTGTCCTTTGTAAGTTACCTGTTAATATTTTTAATCTTCAAACGTAATCTGAAAATTTCGATCTGCACCTGTATTGCCAGAATACGGGGCAATATGAAAAACGCAATGAAAATATTCATACAGATTCTAATACCGAGATACTGACCCAGAAAGTTGTTAAGGTTTTATAGGGAAAACAGTGTCTTACGCCGGTTGACCCCAGATTGACCCCGCAAAGGGGAATAACTTTTGTAAATGTGAAAGTCGTCTATTGTAAAAAGGGGGCGTTTTTTTGGTACTCTATTTATGATATTTAAAATAACAAGAGGCCCATGGGCCACATCGCTCACCTGAGCACTGTGGCTAGGAAATTGGTTTATTATTGAAAAGTTTAAATCCAAAAGTAGTCCCATGACCAATCATGGCTTTGCTATTCTTGAGAAGAAGATTTTCAAAGAATTTTCTTATATATTTCGATGTAAAACTTTGGTTAGCTATTTTGGCCCCACACTACTCCTGGGGGTCATGATTTGAACAAACTTTAATCTACACTACCGTAGGATACTTCCATATAAATATGATCAATTATGGCCTTGTTATTCTTGAGAAGAAGATTTTTAAAGAATTTTCCTATATATTTCTATGTAAAATTTTGGTCGGCCATTGTTGCCCCGCCCTACCCCCGGGGGTCATTATTTGAACAAACTTGAATCTACACTACCTGAGGATGCTTCCATATAAGTTTCATCTTTCCTGGCACAGTGGTTAATGAAAAGAAGATTTTTAAAGAATTTTCCTATATATTCCTATGTAAAACTTTGGTCGGCCATTGTGGCCCCGCCCTACCCCCGGGGGTCTTGATTTGAACAAATTTGAATCTACACTACCTGAGGATGCTTCCATATAAATATGATCAATTATGACTTTGTTTTTCTTGAGAAGAAGATTTTTAAAGAATTTTCCTATATATTTCTATGTAAAATTTTGGTCGGCCATTGTGTGGCCTTGCTCTACCGGGTAACCCCCGGGGGTCATGATTTGGACAAACTTGAATTCACACTACCTATGGATGCTTCCATATAAGTTTCATCTTTCCTGGCACAGTGGTTCTTGAGAAGAAGATTTTTAAAGAATTTTCCTATATATTTCTATGTAAAACTTTGGTCAGCCATCATGGCCCCGCCCTACCCCCAGGGGTCATGATTTGAACTAACTTGAAACTACACTACCTGAGAATGCTTCCTTATAAGTTTCATCTTTCCTGGCACAGTGGTTCTAGAGAAGATTTTTAAAAAATGTCACCAAATTTTTATTAATTCCCAATTATCTCCCCTTGAATGAGGGCATGGCCCTTCATTTGAACAAACTTGAATCCCCTTCACTCAAAGATACTTTGTGGCAAGTTTGGTTGAAATTGGCCCAGCGGTTCTTGAGAAGAAGTCGAAAATGTGAAAAGTTTACAGACAGACAGACAGACGGACTACAGACAAAATGTGATCAGAAAAGCTCACTTGAGCCTTCAGCTCGGGTGAGCTAAAAATAATCCACCCAAATTATGCTAAATTATTCATTACCATTGAAATATTGGATAATAGATAAGTTGAATTTTCACTTTCTTCAATATTTTGATACGATTCTTGTTGATTTTAATCACTTTACAGGGGGGGGGGGGGCTTATTTCCTAACAACTGAAAAAGACCCAAGGGGGCGCTTATGGGGCAGGGGCGGTTAATATGGATTATACGGTATATGACTTATAAGATAGCATACTGCCATACTTGATTCTAATGATTACATGTTGGTAACACAGGGGAATTACCAACAACACACATGTAAAATCTTTAAAGAAGTTTGCTAGTTTAATTTCATTGCTATATAGGAAAATTTTATCAATGATTGAATGAAGCTAGCACAAAATACATATACATGTATTTAAAAATAAAGTGATCAGCCTGTTTCAACATTGCTGGTGATTCATCTCTAAGCAGGTAAATAGCCAAGTTTATTTGCATGGCTTTATATTTAAGCTTGGTTGAATATTCTTTGAGAATTAAGTATGCTTATAAATTAACTGGGCTACTCTAATAAGGTATTTTGTTTAACATTTACAACCTATATTGCAATTGCATCCAAATCTTTAACATTTTTACACAGACCTAAAGATGCATTAAATGAAATATATTCAACAATAATAATAAAACATAATGAATATTAAAATGCAACATTTAGCCTAAAACAAAAAATCTAAATATGGTTACCTGTTCCAAATGAAATACTGAATAGTGTTGATATCACATCAGAAATTTCAAGCTTTGGCATCTGTTAGGTCCTGGCATTCCGGGCTCTTGTTTTCTCTTTCATTTACTAACACTTTTATGTTCATTTAGCATCATGCATAGTTCATCTTTAAGACGAAAAGGCAACGTAACAGACATTATTCAGAAAAAGATCTTTCCTTACAAATCCTCTCCATCAGAAACATCAACGAACTTATTGTCTCAGGACACTGTCCAGAATCCGCTCTACAATCGTATCGATAATGAGAGACAGGGGGTCCTACATTTGGCCGTAGTTTATGACGATGTTTGTACTTGCTGAACTTAATTTTTTTTAATGAAAAACGAAGCTTCAAATGAACAAAGCCAGCCTAACCGGCAAGTCAGGAAAGTCATCAACATCACAACACGTTACGGTTTTTGTTTACTCGCCATGCGCTTATGGCAAATGTCGTAAAATAATCATTTACTTATAGAATCAACAAATGAATGTAATTCGAATTGTGTAAAATATTTTTGAATAAGGGTGTAAACGTTTGAAACTCTTTGTAAACATTAAAAATTGTATATCAATCATCTTTAGCAATTATACATAATTACGTCAATCTGATTCAAGGCAGATGCGCGACTTCCTGCGCAGTGGCGCGAAATTTCGAATTAGGTCTGTCGTCCTTAAAGAAAAAGAGGATTGCATTTTAAAAATACTATAGATGTCATTTTGATTAAATCGATTGTTTCAAGGAAGACTATTTTAATATCATAGTTGTTTTTTATACCCCGCGCTAAAAAAGCGGGAGGGTATATAGTGATAGGGATGTCTGTCTGTACGTCCGTTCGTCTGTTACGTTTTAGGGTACCCATCTCTTATCCGCTACTCCTCTTATACCACTGAATGAAATTTAGTGAGACTTTCTTAGAATCTTTATTGCATACTGTAATGTCATTGAGCACATTCTATTTTACTTTTGATCAGACACGTATTTCAGGTTTCCCTTAGGGAAACAGGGACAATGCCATTGCATTCATATGGAGGCGGGGAGTATCACCCGTGAGCTCATTGCTTACAGCACCTCTAGTTTTATATAAATAACTGTACTTTTGGGATGATTAATTTGTCCAGGTATTTTTTTACGTTATTTCTTTAATGGTTAATTTTCCCTTCTCAATACATTTTGCGCTAGAATATTGTCTATCGTCCATACGCATTTTTTCGACTGGACAGTCATGTAATCTTTAATTTTTATGTTTATTCCAAATTTTAGAGGTAAAATAATAATTATTTATTGTTTTCTGTTTGGGGACATTTAAGGTTTTTGTAAATTAACCTTGATACCGATAATTCATATATTCAATAATGTATTCCTGTAGCATTTTTAATCTTGATTGTGATCAGATTTATTTTAAAAAAACCTTCTCAAAGTGTTTTTTTTAACATTACATGTACTCATTTTTTTGTGCTCTCACGTGCAGTTCAGGAACAATATCGAAAAGAAAAACATCTTCAAAAACATTAATTTTGATGCAGTCAAAAATTAGCTATTTTGAAGACTTGAATTGTTTGTTGATTACCTATTATTGTAATTTTTGACAGTTTCAATATGTTGAGTGTGTCTTTTTTATATTCTATGAATAAACAAATAACAATGAAATAGTGAATATTTTTTTACTCTATGTGCGTAGGTTCTTTTTTAAATACACTAACTTTACATTATCTCTGGTTAAATTGTAGGAGGGTCATTCAAAAAATACGTAGACAATGCTTCTCATCGTCATATAATCATTACAAGATTTAAGATCAACACATTTTCGTAAACATAAACATTTATTTTGTCGAAGTGTGAAGTTCAATTCCATTTGATTAAATAGAATTTATGTTAGCCAAAATTTAAACTAATATGTTTTGTTACCACGGAGCACGGTTAACGAATATTGTAACGTCAAAGACAACGCTGAGAAAGTTTGTCAAAATTATACTAATTTTCTTAATTTCAAACACGGTTTGTACCGTCTTCTCTCTATTAAAAAAAACATTACGATAACATTTAACACCTAGTAGAGAACACCAAACACGCAACGAACGAACGTATCTCGACGATATGAACCGTATTACTACTTTATAAATACCATCACTCGCTTTATATTTATTTTGTAATTATTTCAAAGGCGGATCCAGCACCGGTGCGCCCCCTCCCCAAATTGATTTTTTTTTATTTTGTTTGTATTATCTTCAAATCAACAGGAAAACACTTCTAATTTGTTATAGAGTCCTCAGTTACCTGGGGCTTAGCCCCTGCACCGCGCCCCTGGATCTCAACCAGGGCTATGTCCTGGACTCAGTGGGGGGGGGGGCTTTAATGCAGACTTTCAAGTCTTCTACTGCGCACCCTCCCCGTTTTGAAATTCCTGGATCCGCCGCTGAATAAATATTTAGACATTTAACTGCTAGAACATATTTCTTCACTTCCTATTAAGATATGAACGACCAGTATCGGGTTATTATATTTATGTCGGGTTCCTTATATCGACTCCCTAGATGGGAACTTGCATCTATTGTTAAATTGTTCTCAGCTCTTGCAAAGCGTCGCATTGATAATTCTTACAACCTATAAGTATTGCACGCCAAGTTCACAAAAATGAGCCAAACATAGTTTCACACTTGATAAACTAGATTTATCAACTGTTAACTATAGTTTAAAAACCGTAAACTATAGTAATCAATTGGTTAACTATAGGTTTCATCTGAAAAACTTTATTTAACAGTTGTTGACTATAGTTTAAGAATGCTAATCTAATTTTATTTGTCTGTGAGAAAACGTTAACAATAGATTTTGTTAATTAACATAGATTCACGTCTGTAAACTATAATTTATAATCGTGAACTATAATAGTTAAGAGTTGTTAATCATAGTTTCACAAATAGTGAAACTACATGTATGTTTATCAGATAATCTATTTTTTGCAACCGCAAATAATTGTTTTCAGTTTTAAGTTTAGTTTATGGTTCTGAAACATAGATTATCGCGTTAACTATGGTTAACAGATGTAAAATATAGATTAACGTTCAACTTGTTAACTAAAGTTTACAGTCCATAAACTATAGTTTACAGTACGTAAACTATAGTTTATAGTATGTAAACTATAGTTTACAACCGATAAACTA